CTTGACCGATAGCACGCGGTTCAGGCGGGTACCCATTTGTCAGTTTCTCCTTCTTTGCCCGCACCGAAAGGAGTTTTTGGAAGGCATGATTACGAGAGATGAGAGTTGGGTCCTCTACGATTCTAACAAGCACAGTGCCGTGTGGCTCCCTCGAGGAGAAGACCCGCCGACACAAGCAAAATCGGACCTTCACCCCAAAAACTGTCTTCTTTGCTACCTCTGGGATTCGTGAGGAATGTTGTATTATGAGCTGCTCCCGTAAAGACATACCGCTACCGGCAGCATTTACGCCAGTCAGCTCCAGAAACTAGCGGACGCTGTTCGAGAAAAACGACCGAGACGAACTTCTGTCCACCTACTCCACGATGACGCCAGGCCCCATATAAAGGCCCATGCAAAATTAGGAAGAGCTGGGCTAAGACTCGGTTCCTGCCCACCCTATTCCCCTGACATTGCCCTCTGATTATCACTTGCTTCGCTCCCTTAAGACATTCCTAGCGAAGAAAAAATTCGCCAAAGTTGAAGACGTTGAAAGGGTGGTCAGTGATTAGGGTGGTCAGTGATTTCTTTGACTTCCAGTCTCTCCAGTTCTAGGAGAATAGGATCGCTGACCTGCCCATAAGGTGGGACTCTGTAGTGAACAATGGTGATTATATTGTTGAGTAAATTCCATTGTACGCGGAATAAAAAAGTAAAGCAAAAAAGTGTCAAAGGGCTCAGACTTTCTCCCCTTCTTACACTTTCTTCCATAACGTCCATGGGAATTCTTCAACAGTTCAGAAGAAAACGTTACAGAATTTCAGAGAAATCTGCAAAGCTTGCATCGGTGAACCCCCTCCCTGAGTCCAAATCGTAAATCTCCAAGTGTTGCAACGCATATCGTAGTGTATTTGATCTCGGCTATTTTCCTTGGTGTGATGATCTTGGCCGCCTCACACCTCAAACAGACTTGGACCGACAACAACCTCACGAAGCAGGCGTCTCGGTCTCGTCAAATCTCACGTTCTCTTCGAGATCTCCAAACGGGGCTCATTATCCGATCTTCACCCAGTCAATTGTTCGAGCCACAGCTCCCATCAGATCCTCTGATAGCTGAGCGTCTTTTGTGCGATCTCTCCACTCGGGCTCCACCCCTCTCAGTCACTACCACTCCACGCCTACAAAAGCTTTGCGCCGACCGAGCCCTGCATGCACTTGACCGCGCCTGCAAAATGAGGTGAGCTTCTCTCAATTAGCGTAATTTGATACCTTACTACCTTTCAAAAGCCTTCAAATTTATTTTATTGTAAGAAAGTTCGCGACAATAATGATGCTTTACTTAACGATCTATGGAATAGTAGGCATAATTTATGTGTGTTACTTATTCCTCTCAGCTGGCAGTCCTCCATTTTAGTCATCTTCTTCTGATAACTTTTGGTCCTCTGATAAAATTTGGCCCATTTTCATCACTTTGCAGTGGTTCCAAGGAAATAAGAGCGAGAAAGAGAGGGGTTGGTCAAAAGGCGAGAGGTGGGAGAGAGAGAAATTGATGTGAAAAATCGAAAATGAGTTCTGAAATTAGTTTCGATCAGTACAGAGGAACGAGTTTCGCAAGGAGGACTATTTTTAGTTACCTAAAGAAGTTCAGCGGTGCCAAAGAAGCGCTTTTTGTTCTTGCACGATCGAATCTTTTCGTTGGCTGTTCACACCTTCGAATTCACTGGGCTCAATAAAAGGGCCTTTCCAGGAGAGCAAACACTGTGCACAACATTGATATCCTTTGTATAGCTCCATTACGACACATTGGCCATACAGCTCTAAAACGACCGTGCGGCGGTCAGAATCTCCAATTGAAGGAATGCGCAGGTCTTTTAACAACCAGCGTAGGAATTACTAGCTGTTCGCCACTTGTCTTGGATACTATGCACTTGAGTCAGGTCAGGACGAAAATTGCTTATCCATTACTTAGCTGAACGTAGTGCAAAAGCTTGTGTGAAAGAAAATCTGTGAACCTAATGGTTCCGAAAACTCCAGCGAAGAGGGTTTAGGATGCGCCAAAATCCTCACATACTCGATATTGCTCAGTCATCAGGCTTAATATGGAGTTGAATTGCTAAAACCCACTCCGTAGTTCTTTAGCGCTACTTCGCGAAAGCGGCGGCAGATTTGATACCAACGTGACGCGGCTGACGCTGATACTGCTACCACTAACAAAAGGAGACTAGCGGACTGACAGCAACCCCCTGAAGTCACCGGGACAAAATTGAACATCACTAAGGCGCTAGACAAATTTATCTCGTGGTTTCAATGACACTCAGTCCGGACGGGGGGGGGGGCATATTTTGCAGCTATGTGCGGACGTCTAAAAGATTATTTGTGAAGAAAGTTCCAGTTTACTCTTCATGAGTTAAGTCAAGAGCCCTGGCGATCGATTCATAGCTTAATGTTAAGCAGGGCGTCTTAAACTTAGGTTTAGGCTTATGAATTGGGACCTAGCTTGTCTTAACGCCCACTTGAGTAAATGACTGACTTTCTACATTGTAGTGACCGACTCTAGAGAGAACTGCAAGCCCCATTCGAGTTTAATTTTCCTTCCAGCTTATGGTTTAGAAGATCGCGCCGGCCCTTCCGGTGCTGAACTTCAATCGGTCGATTTGGATTACGCGGAGACTATTATTTGCACTTCCTCCGTGTAGCGCGGCGTCGAGCTGGCTATTTGTCTACTTAATCAGTGTCCCACAGTCGAAAAGCTGGACGGTCTGCTCGAACGAACTCGACGCGCAGCACACCAAATGAAGGCGCACAAATAGCACTCTAACTATTCTTTTCTGGTCTCTAGTTTTTTCAGCCTTAGCCAAAGCACTCACACAACAAGACATCCGAAACACTCACAAGCATCAGAACGTTGGTTTCTGGTTCAAACTATTTTTGGGTTACCAAAAGTGGAAAACCCTGTCGGGTGCGTTTTAATAAACGCAAAACAGATTCGCTGCACAGGGAATGGAACTCGGTGACTTTTACCAATATAGGAGTCCAATTCTCTAGATATTAATTATTACGGCATAACTGGATGTGCTCATAAATTGGCTAAAAGTCTTTGGAGTGCAAGATTACGCGACTTCCAACAGAAGCCTCAGCTCTATTACTAGACTTGTTATCTGCAGTACAGAACTGGAAATCGTGCACTTCAGTAAAATTGGACCCGGATTTCTTTAAATATCACAACATCATGATTTGATTTGGACATCAGTATGGCAGCTGAGAGTCTACGGCCCATCATCAGAAGAGATTGTCACGACCTTTGGATTGACGTATTCTCTTAAAATTATAAAAGCTGCCCTCTCGAAGCAAAAATCGATTTAGTTTTTAGAAGGAGAACAGATGGAACCCTATTCTACTACTCAGCTTCCATGTACGTGACCTAATGAATGACACCTTTTCAGACTGATCCTGCTCATATCTCTTCCTCTGATAGCCTTTTCACAACAGTTTGCAAATCAACAAAGAACAAATGGTTCGTTTTTTCGTTACGCCCTGCTGAGAAAAATATTTCAAATATCGCCTCTTCAGAAGTTAACCCCGATGTTGTCCCTGCCTGGTACCAAACGCCGCAGAAGCCACTGACGACCGGCTACGGCGGTTATGGTCGAAATCAGCCAGCACTATACGAGAGAGCACCGACTATGAACTATCAAAAGTACGTTGCTTTCAAATTTAAGAGTCGTTTGAGGATAGGATTGAAGTTAAGAACTTGGGTGGTTCACTTAATGTAAGTCGCACATGAGAATAAATCTAGCAGAGGACGTACTAGCGCTGTCGCTAGCGCTGTCCGCCCAAAGTGTATAATGTCGAAATCTTTGCGCCCCCCTTCTACCTATAGTAACTTGCTTCTCTCAAAAGGTGCGACATAGGATTTGTCTAGTCTCTAAGAAGTTTGGTTTGTGGAGCATAATACAGTTTGAGGCAGGGCATTAGGTGAGCTGCTAAATGGGTTTGAAAGAGGCGAGGTGGTGGGCTCGATGATAAATAATGCGAAAAAAAGGCAGAGGAAATTAAAAAAAACCAAAACAGAACCCCTTTCGGCGCCTTCATGAACAGGTAACAGCTCAAAAATGACGCATGACTGGAATCAGTCTTAAAGGAAGCGATTACGATAGATCTCAAAGGGGTTTAGAGGGGACGTGGGGGTCTCAATAGTACGCCAATGGCGAAAAAAGCAAAGAAATCCGTCGAAAATAAGCAAAATGGTACCCCTTTGATTGCCCTTTCATTTTCGACCATGGATGAGCGACGGTAAAGAACGACGTTGTTCGGACGTGTTAACCCCGATAGCTACCATCATGCCAACAAGCATAGTGTTTTGATTGATAAGGCAATACGTGGGCAAGTTGGAAGATACAGCCGCTAGAAGGAAATGATCATCCAAAATGAAAGGCCAACAGCAAACAGTCCATCCAGATCATCAACAAAACACGTCACTGGCGGAGCGTCACGCGGGTCCTGCTCAGCAACCACAGCACCTTTCGCCGTGGGACCACACATCGCTTCCTTGGCAGCCAAGTAATTGCTCCGTGTGGCGCAGGTTCTCCCCCGATGCGAAAATTCCTTATCGTAATCGCTTCCTTTAACTGCCTAGAGTTCACGATGTACATCAACTCATCGAGTTGCTTTTCAGTTTGCCGTGCTGCAAAGTAGCTCGTCAAACATCAGCAGAACTAGGGGCGGATCGCTTTCGAGGGCGAGTTGCTTTCGAAGTCCTGCAGCAACCAGTTCGGCACCAAACAATCTCGTTTACTTCGCAGAAAAGTGATAGCTTCATGTGGGACAAATGCTTCCTCCATGCGCTCCATCTTTACCGTAATCGCTTCCTTTAAGATAGTGGACATTCACGCCACTGTGGCTCTTGGAGCCAGCACCCTACTTGAGTTGGAAACGAAAATGTTACAATTAATCATCCAGAATCTCGCTTAATTTCAGCTACCCAGCGTTCGGCTCAAATCGACCAGCCTATCCTGGACCTGATGGGCTCAGCTCAGCCAGCTCGACGATATCCGATGGGAGGTCAGCAGGATGTAAGTGGCTCGAGATCAAGTCCCACTTTAAGTTCTCGCATTCTTTTACCTTCTAACCCATCTCGGCTTATCGAGTATGCGCCGCTAACCCCACTCGTGCTCCATCGTCTCTGGGAGCCAATCCAGCAATCTGGGAACCATCTGGGTCAATGGCTCACCCATGCAAAATCTTTCTATTATGTGCAGAAATTGATCGGTTGGAAACGTCTTGCCGAATTGCTTTGGTGAATTCGTTATCCTAAGATTTAATTGTGACTGTCTTAGCTTTTGGGTCATATTTATCAGTTTCCTTATCAGTATGGCAGCTAAGACCGGTTAGTCAAAACAGGGTTTCTATGCATGTGATCTGCGGCTCTCTATGAATTGAACTTGAAATTGTGTAGAGTTTTTTATTAGGGAACTTCTCAAAGCAGTTTATCAGAGAAGACAATGGATCACGTGATTGTTTCCTTTCCGCTGATACTCTGATAAACTGTTTCTATCAGTGTTGCGCTACGCCTTCAGACCATAATCTTTAATTTATAATTTTCTCTGTATGTTTTCCAAACTCTATCTGTTGGGCCATGGCAATATCTGGATGCGATGTCTGCCCCGTGACTGTTGTTGCCTCTTTGCCTAGGAAAAGATCAGGAGGGGTTCAGTGAAAATTGTGGGAGTTACTTAAGGGCACATCGATGACCGAATCAGGGCGGTATAAGCGCTCGATAACAAAAGTAGAGATGTTCAAGGGTTGAAAAATGCGAAAAAGAACAAACAAAAAGTGCACCCTGAGAGGAAGGGATCTCTTTCCCTCCCAACGGCCTGGAATGAAGAAAGGGCGTTTTTGGACGAGTTGTCTGAAGGTCTAAGTTCTTTATTGGATAGTCAGCTAGCGTTCCTTGAGGGTTCTTTTACTGTATTTCATGGGGATCTACGAAACTTTCGATCCGCAATTTCAAAATGTAGGAGCCTCTCCATCCCTGCTGAAGTAGCCATGGTATGGCCCTCCACCAACATCACCAACATCAGCTTCGGGGGATCTGCCCCACACGACTCCTCTCCCCACACCACTCCAACTACCACTTAAGCCACCGGACTCCTATAGTAGTTGGTTTTAACCATAAGAGCATTAGACCAACTCCAACCTCTGCCTACATTCTCCCCTCGAAAACTGCCGTCGGGTGGTATGCGAGGGAGCGGTTGTAAATACATGAAAATAGGCGCCAGGTGCTTTGATTTCCTTTCCCAAAGCTCTCTCCCAAAGGTTTCAAGTCTTCATAGAAATCATCCAAAAACCCCTCAAGAAGATGCCCTTCTCCCTCTACTACGACCCCTCAACTTTCTTGAATACAAGCCTTTCAAAGTAAATACCCTTCACCAACATCATATGCGAATAGGCTCACTAGTTCTTAGATAGAATATTATGTCAAATGTTGTTCTCACCAAATCTGAAAGCTGATTAGGGACCGAACGATGTGCTTTCTTCTATTTTGTTGGAACCAAAGCTACCGTATGCTAAGTCCTGCAAAAAACAAATTTTCATT